ATTTTTAAGTCACTTTAAGATTTTGTACATTGCAAATACATTCAAGTCAAAATTGCCTGTTAATGTATTAACATGGCTTTCTTCATACAGATATTTTCATATATGCGTATTGTATCTTGAACAAGGACAGATCCGGGTTAAAATTCAGCAACCCATGTTTGTCTCAAGAGGCAACTAACGGGATCAGGTGGTCGGGGTCATTGACTTGGTTGATGCATGTCATCGTATCCCAGTAGCGTTGATCGAGGCTCATAATTTGAATCACTAGATTGTCTTATCCAGGCTCGAATATTTTCAGACGGCGGTCATATCGTGAAAGATCACAGAGTGCGGCGTTTAACAACAAACAACACAAACAATAATATCCATCATGTACTGTATCTAAAGAGAGTCTATATCGATCTGCGTTAAAGTCCCATCTCGTTTGAGTCAGTTGGTCTTTCCAATATCTCACCTAAAGCCAAGGAGTTAATATCAATAAATAAATACTCTATTGTCTAGTTGCACTTAAGGATATGCACTGTATATCCTTTTTGAGGCCACAAACCCTTGTTCTAATATCTCCGATCATCTGTACTTGACTGGCCGTAGTTTGGGCTTTTAATCAATATACCAATCAATATTTTCTCGAACTAATTAGTTTAGGATACGGATGAAAACACCGGGGGATGCTTTGTCTATGACTACACAACCTCGATGGTGAAGTGAAAAAACAGAACTATATTTAAAGTGGCTGCGAGTGTTGAACGTTCAGATGGGAATTTGGCTTTCATTTTCAAATTCTAAGACTTTGACTTCAAGAAGTAGGACGAACGGTATTGGTACGAACATTTAAATATTCTCAGTTTTTCAGATTTCCTATTTCTTGTCCTACAGCACATATATTGCGGATTGTAAATATTAGGCCACATAATAATAGCTTTCTGGTATCCATCATTTTTTTAAACCAAAACGGGAAGGTCAGGTCCAATTTTCAGTTCTCCAAAATTCACCCCCAAATTCACAATTGTATCAACGCTCGTAGCCTCTCCTGGTTGCAAATCAATAAGAAACGGGCCGAACCAAGACTGGAAATCGGAATCGAAAAGAACTTGATCGGTGATGAAAAATAATACTTTTTGTGTATGTAGCCATCCCTTGAAACTATTCATTTTTAAATGATAATGTCATGAATGAAATTATAATATGCATGTTACAAAATAGCGTATCAATTAGTCAAATTGAAACCTTTGTGATATGGAGAGTATGCCATTGGCAATTGGGACCGCCGCGTGTTGCGGTGTGTATTTCAGAATGAAATATACTACCGCATCATCCTTTGTGATTTCAAGCACGTGCCTTCCGTGCTGGGGCGACATACCAAGACTATGTCATAAGCTTATTAGCGCTCTCAACCGGTAAAAATGACATTCATCCACATGATTTAATTTCGTTTCCAAATCAGGTTTCTGAACACAAATCAATGTCAAAGACATGAACACCAAAATCTCATCATGAAGTCTAAAGGACGGAACACATGTGAACATGCATCCGATCTTAGTGTAACGACGGCAAAACGAACTGCTGGGAAAATGAACATTTACACTTTAAAATTAGATTTAACAACAGAATTACAAGGTCTCAAAACGTTACTAGGCTGAAAATAGTTTACGAAACACTGCATATCTAACGTCCAAAACACAAATACGATACCCGTATCAAACACATCACCATCTATTAACCATTTCTTGCTTGTTTCAATGTTATGAAAATCAAACGTGGGTGTATATTTTATTTTGCCAGGCAGTTCGTGTACATGTGCATGATAAAATGTTCCAAATGACATGGTATCAGAACTAGTGTACTTCGACACTTCTGTTCTGAGATGGTGTTCAGCATCCCTGCTCCATCACATGTGTGAATGGCCCTGTGCAAGTTAAGGGATGGGTAAAACCAGGAAACTAAGCCCTAAATAGGATTTGTGTAACGAGAGAAGGAAGGTCACCCTCATCTTTAAAGCTTATTACTCGATTTAAGGGATTACTGGGGAAAAAAGTGTAAAAGCCTTATCGATCGTCCCCTTCAGCAGCCCTGAGTGAAATACACTAGGTTCTGTGTTGGAGCGGATGATAGATGAGGAAGGGGAGAGGCTTTGGTCAGTAGTGGTCAATAGGTTTGGTCACTATGGTGGATATTGATGCCTCATAATGATTTCGATTGGTTATCAGCCATACGTTGACCAACCTGTAAACTCAACCGAAATATGAAGAATCTTGCACAGATTGTATATCCAATTTTAATGTGCACCTAGGAACAAAGACAAACCATTTCTATATATTTCCAAATATGATAGCCTTCCTATATTATCTTTCTCAAGAAATTTATTTGTTTTTGTTTACAAAGTGACATACTCATATTGTAGTATAGAAGTCGAAATCTACTATCTGAAGACATGTTTTTTGAATGTTCTATGTCAATAACATACACTGACCGACAATGGATGTGATACACTTGAAACTTCGATTTAACCAATAATTAAAAGCGTTATAAAAACGTCACTTGGATGACAGCAGTCGCGCAAAATACTGCAAACGTAGGTCCTAAACACAAATAGGATACCCATATCAAATACATCACCGTTTTGACTAACCATTTCTTCTTTGTTTTATTTCATTTTCCTGGCTCGCTGACTTGGTTGATGAATGTCATCGTGTCCAAATTGCGTGGATCGATGTTCATGATCTTAATCACTGGATTGTCTGGTCCAGACTCGATTATTTACAGACTGCCGTCATATAGCTGGAATATTGCTGAGTGCGGCATTAAACAACAAACACACACATATTTCAATTTCAGCCACCGTCAAACATGGTGTATACTTTCTTTTGCTTAGCAGTTAATGTAAATAAACATTGGACCCGTGAAAATCCGGGTTAGAAAAGGTCCTCAGCAACCCATGCTTGACCTAAAAGTCGTCTATGCTTGTAAGGGGCGACTCGCGGGATGGGTTGGTAAGTGGAATATCGCTGAGTGCAAACAAACAATGAGTGTCAATACGGTACGGTAAACATGCTGCGTGTCTTCAGTTAAAAAATAAACGAAAATAATTTTGGATTAGAAGTAAGACAGATTATAAATTGCCCTCGGAACGGTTCAGAGTTAGTGAGTGAGTGCGTGAGTGTGGCCTCGTCCGCTGTCAGCAGTAGAACTGCCAGATCACGGCAACGATCCAGAAATACGTTCATACATTACTCCCATTTATGGATTCGAACCCGGGTCTTTGGCGTAACGAGCAAACGCTTTGAACACTAGGCTACACGACCGGCGTCTAGGATGAAGGTGTGTCAAGAAGTTTGTCGTAAAGGGACTTGTTTTCTTTTTAAATAGGATTAATGCAAAGACTAAAATTGTGAACCATTTTTACAAATATCCCAGAATACAAGAAACGCCATGTCATTCAGTGAGTAGTTTCAGTGCTTCTGGAAATCATTACACAACCACGAAACAATAAGAGAAGTTTTCGCACCTTCACATCACACATTTTCTCCCCATTTATGCCCTTACATTCTGTTAAATGGGCACAAAATCATAAGACCATTTCCACTTAACAAATAACTATAAAATTATATATTGTTTTCATGTTCCTTTTAAACGCAAAGCAATTGTGATGGCTTTAAGATTTGTACAAAACCATGCTAATATTTCAAATTCTCATTTGCGGACATCAAACATTTGGAGCCAATGTTAGAGGCATGATATATGTTCGTATAGCTATCGACCCTGCGACGTTCTCAAACAGCATCAACGAAAGTTGCATTGTTCAATGGGGATCGTTTGGCTAAAGCGATACAAACCATGCTATCCGCTTGTTTTTGTATTGGATTCAGTTCTGAGAGCACGCGTCAAGGGATACCGATGCTGGAAAGGCTCATTTGTCAAATTTTGACAGTTATTGTATTCCATACTTCGCCGATTAGCTGCAACTTAATAAGTGGACGTGTCATCGCCCTGCAACGAAACTTAGGTCAATGTTGCAGACTGCGCCTCGACATCTCGGCGCTGGATGCTGGCAAAATCTAACAAAACATGAAACATTTTATACCATTTAGGAACGTTTTTGTCAAATATTATGCTTCCTCGCTGGCGAGTTTTTTGCGTTGGAAGAATATCGCATTTGTCAGGAAGATATTAAAATGCAAAAATGCCTGTGATTGCAATATTTGAAAAGCTGCAAATATGTCAACTTTTTCGTATATTTGTGTGATGAACTGTTTTTTAAATAGAATACAGTAGATGCTGAGTCAGGGAATTTGTTTTTTTAAGAGGATTTGGGTAAAAGCATGGAGTTTGAAGCGGTTCTTGTACTTTTATTGGGGGGAGTGTTATTTACTCCCATTAAAAAACAACATAGACATGTAAAAGTGAGTTAGGCTCTCAGCAGTCGTAACAAGCATTTAATGATAAATATTTTGAAACGAAATTGTGATTGTAACACGGAACTGTGGTTGCGTTTTTAACAGAAACATGTACAGTAGACAATGGTTGTGCTATTTTTTTGTTTTGTTTTACTTATTGTCAGTCGGACTTAACGCAGCTTTGAACAATTTTCCAATTAAATGCTGGAAAAGAGAAAGTGTACACTTGAAAATTGGATTTGACGAAAAAAATACAAACGTTATCGAAAGGTTACTTGGCTGAAAACTGTCGCTGAAACACTAAACTTAAGGTCCAAAACACAACGATGATACCAGTATAAGATACATCACTATCGTATAACCATTTCCTGTATTTTACATATTTAACCACCATCAAGTATGGGTGTATACCTTCTTTTGTCCGGCTGCTGAAAACACTGCCTGCCTCTTTAATTGGAACGGAAAACAATATAATGTGCAGCATGAATTCTATTATCTTTAATAATTATACCTTTGCCATCATCATCATCATCATCATCACCACTATTATTATTATCATCATCACCATTATTATTATTATTATTATTATTATTATTATTATTGCAGACTGTTTGGGACGAAGTGTGCTGGGTGTGAGAAGGGTATCCCCCCGACGGAGGTTGTTCGCCGCGCCCAGGAGAACGTGTATCACCTGGACTGCTTCGCCTGTCTCATGTGCTCCCGGCAACTCAACACAGGGGACGAGTTCTACCTCATGGAAGACAAGAAACTAGTGTGCAAGAGCGACTACGAGGCTGCTAAGGCCCGGGGAACTACCGGTGTGTACATTTTCTCAAACCTGAATTGATCTCATTTACATGTTATGACGTCATTCGTGACACATTTAACATGACGTAACCAATGCACATTTTTATGCATATCTGGTTATTTTGTGGCATATAGTTAATTGCCAGGTATTGCACTATCTGAAGGCTTTCTGTTTGTAAAATTGATGGTCTTATTGCAATATTTTATAGATACTTTGGTTTGCTTATTTTATTTCAAAACTGATAGTCCTTGGTCGAAATAGAATAAAAATATAATTTTAATATTATTTAAAAAAAAGAATATCTTTTATTATTTAACCTAATGAAAAAATAATGCCGTCGGATGAAACAAAATTAAATCGGTTTTTAATGAAACTAAAGCATTTTAATGAAGTGTGTTTTGATTACTGAAATTAATTAACAGACTCAGCTAAAAGGAAAGGTATACGGGATAGATAGAAAGGATATTGTTTTCATATCAAAGCTGATTATCAAATATTTCATATTTCAGATTTCGAAATGGATCCTTCAAATAAGCGCCCACGTACCACAATCACAGCCAAGCAGTTAGAAGCATTGAAACGTGCATACAATGAAAGCCCCAAACCCGCGCGTCACGTCCGGGAACAACTCAGTACCGAAACCGGTTTGGACATGCGTGTGGTTCAAGTGTGGTTCCAGAATCGGAGAGCCAAAGAAAAACGGTTGAAGAAAGATGCTGGAAGGCAAAGATGGAACCCCTATTTCCGACAGATCAAGAGAGAAGGAGACCACGACAGTTCTCTTAGCGCCGATGACAGATCTGATGATGGACTTACAGACAGTTCGTTTCAGGGTAGGTCCAAACTTCATCTAGACCCGTCAAGATCCAGGGTAGAATAGGTCTTCAGCATCCCACGCTTGCCGTAAAAGGCGACAATGCTCGGCGTAAGAGGTGACTCGGGTGGCCAGGCTTGCCGTCTTGGTTGATGAATGTCATCGTATCCCATGCGTGAATTGATGCTCATGATATCAATCACAGGATTGTCTAATCCAGACTCGAATATTTCCAGGCCGCGGTAATATAACTGGAACATTACCGAGTGCAGCTTTAAACAACAAACAAACAAAACAACTTCAACTTATGTTTGTTTGTTGTTTAACGCTGAACACATCAACATCCATCTATATAACGCGGCCATGTAAATAATCGACAGACCTGACGAATCAGTGACTGATATTATGCGTGACGTCGGTGTATTATGACCCGTAATCAGCCAAATGAACGAGCTTCTTATTAGAGGGAAGGAATTGGCTTTTTTGCGCCTCTTTCAGCAACAACCCGACCATATCATTGCGGTGACACCAATACTTGGCTTTGTCCCATGTGTGGAATCAAACCAGGGGCATCGATGACCGGCAAACACGTTAACCACTAGCCTACCAAACCAAATGTTATGAAGAAATGGCGTTTAATGCTGGCACAGTGATTTAATTATCTTGTTTATTTTCTTACAGGCAGTTTGGATGACCTTGAAGGACCCGTCCACTCTGGGCGTCTGTCTGGGGACCTCTATGGGTCAGGCCCAGTGGACCACGAATCTTTGGGGATGCCAGGGGGACCACCAAGTACGCCTCCTATGGACGCATGGGGACACTTCAACGGTCTGCCAGGGGGGCAATTTATCGGACGTCATTCGCCAAACATCCCATCTAGCCATCCTCAAATGTTGCCACTGGATTCACTGCCGCTTGGTGGCGCGCAAAACATGGTTCGAATGATGCCGCCCGATGTCAACGACACCCCTTCTGGCTTTGTCGATTACCCGCCGGTCACCTCACAAAATCACGTGGAAGTGTATTAGTCATGTGACAGATTGTGCTGTTCTGATTGGACAATATGAAACGGAGTCATGCGGAGAAACGTTCGTAGCCGCATACCGTATACAGATTCAAATAAATATATTTTTGTGACGTGATGGATACTAGTCGTTCTGTGTAGAGGCACCGTGAAGACAAATGACAATCTTTGACGAATAGGCTTTCGTCCGTATCAAGTTAAAACACTTGCCGGCTGTTGCATTGTCCTGACATTTTGCGCGGAGGAGGTCAAGGGAAAATTCTTTCGTTCATTCGATGTGCGATATTTATTGTACCAAGTTTGTGAAGTCTGTATCGAGTCGACGTAGCGATGGCCGTTATAGAACGGACGGACTCCTTGCATTGGTTGGTGCTCCTATACGCTACGTTATAATGACAATGTATCTGTATTATTTCGATTCAAGCTATTGACTCTGACATCGCTACATATCACCTGTCATCATTTCCAAGAAACAAGCTTTATTATTCCTCGATCTCAGCCATGTTGTACTTACGAAATCTATTTATCGTCTTTTCATTTCCTGAACAATATAAAAGCGTTATGATTTTCTTTTCATTTTTATTACTCAAAAGAAGTTAAGGACGATCCGATTCTTTCATACACTGAGGGACAAAAGGAAGTGTACCGATTTTGTATTTTATGTAATTTTTCATATTTTTTTATATTTTTTTAATAATTTCTTTTTATATTTTATGTAATTTAATATTGAAGAACTGTTGTCAAATTTGATTAAGTCTATTTACCCATCACTCATTCCTGCAACAGTTAAAAAAAAGTTATAAAATACTTTCTGGCTTGGTAATTTTGTGTAAAAATATATTGGTTCAATGAAGAAATGAATTTGCAAACACATTATTAAAATGTTGTAAATTTGTGCTAGAAAAGCAGATTTATAGTTTTTCAAAGAAACGATACCCATCAGCAAATGTGCTTTCTGCGAATTTTTAATTTTCATTTTTTAAACATTCAAATAATATTTGAAAAAAACAAACAAAACACGTGGAAGTATTCTTTGAGTGCTGACTTAGCGCAAGTACTGTTCATTGTTTGCATATTATATATCAAACATGAGATCATCTGAGAGGTAAAGTTTGTTTTGCTGGAGTAAATTTGTCATGGCAGGTTACCCATAGTAATATGAAAGTGTCGGGTGGTCATTCTTCTAAGTAGTAAATGGTAGTTTACACCGAATTGCATTGGAAGTTGAATACATAAAGTTGTATATAAATTATTAAGAAACTGGTTTATTGACATATCACATATTTTATTGAACAAATGCTACTTATGGCCAGTGAGAGATAGTCAAGCTCAATCTGGGCCGCTTTGTCTCGCATATCAGCCCTGAACGTGAATAATTTGGTCACATTTCACCTATAGAGAGTGATCCCTAGTCATACGCTGGGTTAGTGATGACCTAATTTCTTTGCTTGTACATACACAATACATATATCAACTTTTAACAATCTAATTACAACATTTTGTGCAGTTATCACCAATTTTACAGTTGATATTTGATTGTACGTGACATCATGACATATGTTTTACATTGTTTTCGTTCTTTAGACCTTATTTTATGCCCTTACACTGTTATTTATTGTAGAGTTATCTCCCATTGGTGTGTGCATAATAATATATAATTATCAAAATGGCAACTTATATATTTTCAAGGGGAGATAACTCGCATTGAGGGGAGGTTATCCTTTTAGGGCGACGTGCAATGTCTTGGTTATAATTTCAATACTCACATATTTTTGAAGTCAACCCTGCCTTTTATGATAATTTATGTTTATTTATTCCGTTGTTGCGATTTTTAACGTTATCCTAATTTATCAGAGATTTTGTTCTGAGTAATTGTCTCATGTGCAATATTCATGTGCATTGTTTAATAAAACATCCAGTTTTATCGATATCCGTTTTATGGATTTTTTCACTAGAAACTATTCTAGTGGTTATAAAAAATAACAATTTTGTCTTAGTACTAGTATATATAATATTTCTATTGCCGTATGTCGCTGTGCTGAATAGTTGGCCTTTGGTCACACCAGGATCCGGTGCGTTCCTTGGTTTCATATCACCATACACATGTTTGGGGGATGTACATGGCGGATAACCTGTGACAACTCCATGTTGGGAATGGAAAAATAAAACAAGACCAAAAAATAAACAAACAAACTTCATGTCAAAACAGACCCGACATGAAATAAATTAGGTGAGGTGAAATGGGATTTAACGTCACGTCACGTTCAGGATTATTGCACTTGGCGACGTTCATTGACGTGTGTGGGGCTGTTTGGACTTATGCCGGTTTTATAGTGCTAGCCCACTGAGATACCATGCCACAGTTTAACATGAATACCCCACTCAGACACAGTTGACTGTTTCCGAGCCGACCAGTCCTTATTTTAGCCCCTTAATGCCTAGTGCCAGACAGAACAAGAAGTTCCATCTGTTAACGTCTGTGGGTATTTTACTGTAACTGTTTATTAATATTTTGTATGTAAACCGATACATTTTTAACTAATGTTTTGTCCGATGCTTTTAGACGTCAAGCGTTTTTATCACGAAATGGGGTACGTGAAATTGGATAAGGCATGTCCACCACGCATAAAGCATGCAGATCATCACATATATAACAACAATTCGCTTCAGTACTATAACACCAAGAACACACCAAGGCCGACAACAGCTGAAAAACACACGCCAAGCATCATCAACAACAACAACAACAACAACAACAGCAGCAATCTGAGCTGTCTCAGTCTCTGCTCCCGCACTGAGGAAGTCTCTTCCATTCAAACTCAGATGGGGTCAAAATCTGGAAACATTACGAAGAATGTACAAAATATACCTCTTCGTAGAGTGAGTGAGTGAGTGAATGAGTATGGTTTAACGCAGGTTTTAGTAATATTCCAGCAATATCACGACGGGGAACACCAGAAATAGGCTTCATACACTGTACCCTGGTCTGGAATCAAACCCGGGTCTTCGGCGTGACGAGCGAACGCTTTAACCACTAGGCTACCTCACGAGCCCCATCGTATATTTACGTTCTAAATTGTTTGATAGGCATTACTTAAAAGTTGACGGATGTCAAGGTGGACCCAAGTTTTATGGATAACAACTTCTTTAATACTGTAAAAAGCGGCGTTTCGCTATAGATCCTTATACCGTTGTCAAGCAAGCAGCCTTATAAAAATTGTGTCAACCTTGTTATGTACGTTCTGTTTTGTGCGGATGTCAACAGTATCCCAGATGTCTCACACAGGCTTGTAAAATAATCTTGTCCATATCAGATAAACCAGCGATTGACATCATGTCCAACACCGTCGGGGTTCAATGACAGGCAATGAAGTCGTCGGGCTTGACCACCCCGTCCAAATTAGTCACCTCTGACGACACGTCGTAGACAGCCTTGGAGCTATTCTGACCAGGGTCAACATGGGTTCAACAGTGTAGGCATAATGTACTGTGCAGAGTTTCGCCCCTTAGAGGTGCCAGAATCCGACGAGCGTAGGTTTAAATCCAATATTTAATCTGATAGTGATAGTGGTGAAAGTTTCATTTTTTAGAGATAGTCATCGAGCGTCCAATTCAAGCGCTGCTTAATTCCAAAGCTTACAAAATCCTGATATTTTGGACGAAATTGAATTTTTTGTTGTACCACTGGTGTCATTTTGCGGTGACCGTTTCTCTGTGCTGCCTCCATAAGCGATTTTTTTTTTGACTTGCGGCTGAAGCTAATAGATCCTCGGCTTATCTTATAGATCCCCGGTCCAAATCTGCACCGCACGTCATGGCGGCCCAAATTCCGTACTCATCAGTGTTTGCAATCCGAAGTTTACATAGAAAATTGCATAATCGAAAATATATGTACACATATTTGAAGCCAAAGTTTTAATAAGCAAATCGAGGGCAATTTCTCATTTACAAAAAGCAGCACAAAGACACAGTTATGGCAGCTAGTGAGTATGGTTTTACGCCGCTTTTAGCAATATTCCAGCAATATCACGGCGGGGGACACCAGAAATGGGCTTCACACATTGTACCCATGTCGGGAATCGAAACCGGGTCTTCGGCGTGACGAGCGAACGCTTTAACCACTAGGCTACCCGACCGCCCCGTCTCGTGAAGAGAGGCTGTTTGACCCACGTTCACCTTCCAGCACTTGGGTATCGCTCAATGGCATCTTTACATAATGCTTTTAAAACACGTAGGGTTAATTAGTGCTGACGTCAGCAGAAATTGAGAGGTAACTGAAAGCCCTTCATGTTTCTAAGAGTTCTGTGAAAAATTGTTATGTTGACATTCTACTATTGCAACGATCACGACAGTTTCCCGACAAAAAAATAGTTGTATAATGAAATCATGTTGAAGTTCTATTTATAGCCTGGGGTCACGGGTGGCCAAGTCGCCTAAGGCGCCGCGATTCAGAATTGCGTCCCTTGGGCACACCAGAAACATATGATTGTGGGTTCGAATCCAGGTTCGCCCCGATTATGTTTCTAGGTTTGTCGGCACCATACCCGTGCTCGTGGGTTTCACCGAAGTGGTAAACGTCTGAGACCTGCATCACTTCAAGCTTTCCTCCCACATCAAGCTGACACGCCGCGATATAACTGGAATAGTGTTAAAAGCGGCGTTAAACCCAACTCACTCGCTCACTATTTATAACTTGTTAATTAGGGGGTGAGGGAACATTATTTGGCATACATGGCATACAGTGCGTGTGTGTCGATGTAAAATAATTAAACATACTGAAATACAAACACATAATATCCCTGGTAAGACCTTTCAAGAATATACATATCCATATATCACGATATTTAGTTTCAATGTGAACTTTTTACGTTTTTAACGAATTGAAATTAAAAATAAAAAGTAGCCATTTATGCATCGTGTCCTATTGGATCGAATGTTTTATTTTCAATTCGTGTAGAAAAAAATCGAAAGTACACTTGATCAAATACGCTAGTTTATTACATATACACTTTTTCTTTGTTGTGCAGACTGAAGTGGACAAGTTGAGGCAGATCGGTAATAAATCGAAAATTCCCCCAGGATGTTAACATTTAAACTAGCCTCTTCTTCATATTGGCAACAATGCGTCATCATTTGTAGCGACATGATGGATGGGAACGACCTTTTACGACATGCGGAAAATCGAGTTGACGACTTGCCGATTTCCGGCAACAAAGAAAACATGTTCCGCCATTTGGTGGCAGCGAAAACTTCTCGACCCAACGCGGGAGGACTCTCAAGTTTGACTTTTTAAAACTGGCGATCCATCGATCTTTCTCGTCTAAACCGTTAAACAAAGTCAGTCCCTCGAAGCTGGGCCCCAGGGTGCGCGGTAACTGTTTTAACTCAATTGAAAGGAATCTGTTAAACATGAAATACTATCTCTCGCTCAGGGTGTCCATATGGCCGGGAAGTTTTTAACGACGCGCATCATTACATCGGAACAAGTGGCCCATTAACCGCCCGATTGCGCCGTAGAAACGAGTTCTGCCTACCAAGCAAGGAACCAGATGTTATTATGCGGAAATCACATAAATGTATTGATGTACATGGCATTATATATAGTTTTCGGTAATGAGTAAATCTAAATATCGTAAAAGTTCAAGTAGGAATGCATTGTCAACACGGAAGCAGTCATTTATGTAGATTATTCATCAATAATTCAGGGTTTCAGACAGAATAATTATCTACGTGCTCGTTTTGGATGTATGCCAATTAGTTTATAGTTTTATTTGATAGAATTCAATTAATTGTTTCAGGGGAAAGTAGCATATTTGTCAATTTCGAATATTCAAAATAAATGTACTGCACTGTGAGTAATTGTGATCATATCGTTCTGCCGATAACAGAAAATCGATAAAAATTATGATGACAAGGACGATATGGCTCCACTGATTGACTAAAGTCTTTTTATCACAACAATCCACACTGGAATGGCCCTAGGGGCCGACCATTTGATATAGAGGGGGAGTCTGGGATTTTATCCAAAAAAATAAGTTGTCTCCGAATTAAAAATTATGCTTGCTATTGTCTGCCACAAAATTACCTTGTTGCAAAGTGGTTTTAGTAAAGAATATTTTGACTCTTAGTTTTTTATACAGTTGGTAGCTGTAGCTGAAGAAATGTTTTGGACGCAATACAAAATCCCACCCCACCCCTACGGATATCAAATGGTCAACCCCTTACGCCATTGTAATGGGCCCAAAGCGAGTCTGACCTCAAAACTTTATTTCCTTTTCAAAATTATATATACACCTTGAAATAAATTAAGCACCACCTTTCCATATAACTAGAAATGTGAAAAGGTCGTGTCCTGTATTAAAGTTTTGACGAAATACATTCACAAACGGACATTATGGAGATTAAAATAATAAATTCAACTTCACCAGAACTAGTTTAAAGAACAAATAAATTCTTTTGGAAGAATTTGAATTTGGGATTTCATCTAAATTCTAATTTACAAAAAATGAAAACATGTAAAGAAGCCAATTCAGACAATATAAAAAGTACAAAAAGGAGCCCTGGGCCATGTATTTCTTTTAAGTATTTTGGGAATAATGACGATTGTTACCTCGACTTGTCTTTTATCACTAACATGATTTTTCAAACGCGTTGACATCAATATCAGCCTATCACTCAAACATGAATATTAATATTTTGAAATATTTGTTCGTGTGACAGAGAGAGGAGATGGAACGTTTAATCATATATTTACATACTAAATGCAATAACAGCTTGTGTGCACGTACTAAAGAACAAAAGCGTCGTAGATCGTTTTTTTCAGGGATTAACTTTGTAGTCTGATTACACCACAAACAATGCTTCCGCGCCTTGAAAGTGTAGTTCCGCGGATTGATTTCCAAGATAAGATGAATATGGTTGAGGTCTC